CCTCAATTGGCATTTGATTTATTAATTGAAAGTTTTATTTGAATGCCTATTAAAAGCATATGATTTATAGTATTTAGAAAATAGCCACAAAAAGAAAATGAGTGTAGATGCTTTATCTTGTTTTACTACTGTTTAGTGTATGTACATCTATATTCTAGTGTATCATAGTTTTTCATTCCTGTTCTAGGTCAGGTTTAAATTATAAAAACTTTAATCACATATTTTGTGAAGGGCTAAAAGTGTGATTTAAAATACAGATTGATATTATAATTTAATTATAAATGAAAGAATAATAAGCATGGGTCTGATTTAATAAAGCTTTTAAAATAGTAATAATGTATTTCATTTTTAAAACAATTTAGAGTGGTCAATAGCAATGAATGAAGGTTGTATTGTTTTATGAAGATACTATAACTTACGTAACTTTAGCATTCATATTTTAAGAAAAAGGATAAGCCCAAATTTTCTGAGCTATTAAGAATATTATTAATACGAATTGTAGTTTTTCTAACAAAGATAGGTTTTTGGAAAACATAATTCTAAGAATTTACTTAATGTAACTGGTAATTACTATAAGGATAATTTTTGTCAATTTTTAATCTTAATATTGAAACATTCTTCTAAAAGTTTTATAACATTTCTGTATTCAAGTAATAACATAAAATAAGTTACCCTCTATTCCTGACTTCATATTGCTTGTGTTATTGAGCTTTGTAACTTTGATCCTTAAAAGTACTTGTAAGCTATTGTCTTTATACTAGTGCATTTTACCTTTTAGCAAATTAAGGTCTTTTTATAAGATAGAATGGAAATTAAATGTCTGTCTTCCTTAATACTTAAATACTTTTTTTCAAAATGAAACAAAAACAAAAATGCTTCAGTAATCCACAAATGTGATAAAGAGAATTTACTCTTAGAGCTATCTGGAATTCCACACACTGCCCCACTCCCAAGTAAACTAAATTTAGAATTTAGAATCTCAAATAGTATTAAGCAGGGAGTAAAGGCAGATTTTTATGTTCGTTTAATATTAAATGTTCTTCTTGCTTTTACTGGTAGTAATGGGCAAAGCATGGTAGATACAGATGTCCCTTTCATTTTTATACGATGGCATGCCCATTCTCTTTCAAAATTACAATCTTAATTTTTTAAAATACATATTCAAAAATCTGCGGTCATGTTGTTAGTAGGAAACAGTCTTATTTTGTGCCAAGCACTGTGTAAGGAATTCACTTACATAAGATCATAATCCCATAACCACTGTTCCGAAATCTAGAAAACTTTAAAAAAACACATTTTTAAAAATATATTTGCTGTCAAATCTACTTTCTATGCTGACATGGGGCTATTTATGGTCTTTATCTCACTTGGTATGAATACTCCTAAATTTTGCTGCAGAACTATTGTGTGAGATTACGGGGTGTTAACCCAGGGCTCAATGGGGGTATTAGGTAATAAATGGTGTGCATACCTATTCTGCACATATGGTCCCAAGAATTTTGGAAAAGGAATTGCTTACCTGCACTTCATCTTCAAGTCAGCCTTTTAAAGTTGATACCATTATCACCCTCATTTTTAACATGAAGACAGGTTAAGTAACTTGCTCAAGGTCATTTGGCAAGTGAGTGGCAAAGCTGGGATTCTAATTTGTGCAGTTTGGCTCCAGAGTCCATGCTTTGAACCATTAACCATATGGTACTACTTTTCTTACTGCTTTTCTGTAAAATCATAAGCATGTAGATCAACTATAGCGTAAGATCAACTTTAGTCAAATTTTATTCACTTAAAACTTCAATACCTTTTAATTATGGAAACAGGTGGATATATCAGAGAACTAGTAAACTATATTCTGCTGATGGGTCAGCATTTTGCTAGCACTCTTATAAAAGCTATCCAAAATGTCAATATGTGAGCAGCAAACTTATAACACATTTAGCAAACTTCAATGCATTGTAAAAATTCTGATTATACAACTTCAAACATGAAAAAAATAGTACACTTATGTGTGCCCATATATCCATTAACCATCTTCAACAGTGTTCAATAGTTACAGCCCATTTTATTTCATTTATACCTCACTTTTGTTCTTCCCTTTCGACCCTGAACTGATTATTTCGAAGCAAACTTCAGACATGATTGGACTCATCACATTTATGTATGTATCTCTAATATTTAAGGTCTTAGAAAATCACAATGGCATTATCACACCTAAAAAAATTAATTCCTAATATCATTGGATATACAGTCAACATTAATATTTCCTCAGTTGTCTTAAATTAGTTTTTGAAGTTCATTTGTTTGAATCAAGATCCAAATAAGATTTACTCATTGTAATTGATTTGTCTCTTAAATCTCTTTTAATCTCTGGGTTCCTCTTCCATCTTTCTCTTTTTCTTAATTTTTTTATTTTTTAATTTTTTAGACAGGGTCTTGCTCTGTCTCCTGGGCTAGAGTGC